CCACACCAAAACTTGCTCGATCTTTTAATTGTGAAGTAACCTTCATTACAAAATTTTTGAAATTCTTCAGGATGCATATGTTTTTCTAATTGATACATATCCTGCAGATATAAATGAGCAGATTTGGCGTATTGAAAATGTCCAGTTGAGTGAAAAAAGGGTATCATTTTTTCCACGCATTCTAAGTGCAGATACCAACTCCCGATGCGTTCAGCATAAATAAACTGACGAAGAATATGGACTAAATAAAAATATTGTATCCAAAGCGTAGCAGTTTTACCTCTAGAAGCAATTATTTTTATTTGATTTTCTACTTTACGTATGAGATCTTGAATTATTTCGTGGTTTTCTATATCTTCCAAAGTCGACGTTATATAATCTGTACTTGAAATATAATTTTTTAAAGTGATTTTATATTCTTCAGTTAATTCAATTTCGTCCAAAATTATTTTTGAAAGACAAAGCTGAGTTAACATATGTGCACGTACTGCTCTTGAATATGCATGTCCTGTCATCATTTTATCAATTGAATTGGCTGCATATATAGTGTTCCATAATTCTCGCAAACCACTACCAGCCATAATATAACCAATTGAACCCATAAATGAAATAAGAAGATGAAACCCGCCAAGTCTTACTACTATTTGTGGATTTAATTTAGAGGATTCAACAATATTTCGTGCTTTTATGTATAAGGGTTGGTCAAAAGTTACAAAACACGTTCTTTGGTTTAATTTTTTACATTCTTGAGCTGCAAAAATCAAAACTGAATGAATACAATCGGGCGAGCTTGGTGGTAAGTTTACAAATGGCAAAAAACTAATTTGCGTTTCTTGATATTCCCGAGAGTCAGTTATAGTTTCCATAAATCCATTCCAACCAGGACATTTTATAACACCAAGCCACTGTGCACACATCCAGTGCAATTCGCTGGGGGACACATATGTCATATTATAAACAGTAGGCCTAATAATGTTAAAATCTTGTATTATTATTTTGTTATTCATATTACCCGTTTTTTCATATGAAATAATTGGAATTGATGCAATATTGCCCATAGTTTCTGCAGTAACAACAGTTTTAAATTTCTGTATACGTTCATTCCACTGTATAGAATTTTTGGGCACTACACATTGAATTCCACCCATTGTATGAAAAGTATTATAACCATCAATCGTATTAATATTGAAATCGGCGTTATCAAAAACAAATTGTGAAAAACTGTTTCGGTTAACTTTGGGTTGTGGGTATAGTAAAGATGATGTCTCAAAAACATAAACATCGGTATATGAAGCACAAAATCCAAAGTTTGAAAAAATATCTATAGCACGTTTTGTACCAAAATGTCTGTGCAAATAAAGACCAAGTCCCAGTAAAATTGGTGAAATGAACGAGCGAGGCCTACAACAATTTATTATGGCATGCGCCAAAGCCACAAATTTATTATCATATTTTTGAGATTTTGTTTTTTTATTTTTACCACAAACTTCAGACAAAAAAAATAATAAGGTCTTTGGTATATCTTGTTTTACATCATCCATAAATTGATTTGGTGGAGGAAATGAATCGGTCTCATAAACAAATGACCTTATATCCTCTCGTATTATAGTAGCAGCTGCTTCAACTATTCTTAACCGTTCTTCTTCTTCATTTTCTTTTTTTGAATCATACCACGCATTTGTTAATACTTTAAATCCTGTATTTTTAAAACTCACTACTGACTTTCTTCCACGGCTCGTTGTAATAATTATATCGTCACCATACTTATTTATCAATTTATTTTTTAAAGTTTTTTCATCACACGTTCCCTCCATTTTTTCATGCAAAAAATTTAGACCAAATTGACATTCATTTTCTGACTCTAAAAAATCACATAAATTGGAAAACGCGTTTGCTAAATCTTCATCTTGTGGTCTCCCTCTCTTCTTATTTTCATCGACTGGATTTGTCGAGCAAAATTTACGTTCACACGATTTATGATACTTCGACTCTTCGGATACCAAACATATCACACTATTCAACCGTTTGAGCACCTCTTTACCCCATTCATCATTTCTTTTGTTCGCTACGTCAATAATTGACTGTTTGAAATGAAGGGTAGATATTTTTATTATAGTATCTCGACGTTCTTTACACAATTTTTTTTCTAACTCTTTTGAACATTCGTTGTCGCAGAATAAACAATTTTCTTTAAATTTGAATATATAATTTGAACGTAGCTTACCTTTGACAGGTGATATATTACTCGTACCTTCTTTTTCATTAACACATTTCCTTATGGTGTCTGGTCTTGTGTAATTCTTTCAGCAATCTTTGTGAACAAGTACATTTTCTAAATTCACTAATGACTTCCATTTATTATCGAATCGCGCTTTACTTGAATTTATAAGATTTGCTATGCCCTTAGCCTTTACAGAAACACATTCACTTTCAACACTTAGTTCTTTATCACATATAAAACATAAATTGGCCATTTTTATAAACACTTATTGAACTGAGAACGTTAATTTAAAAATAATATTTACTCGCATAAATATTTCGACTATAATGTATCAGTTACAGTGTACACTATTGACTGCAGTACTACTGTAAAAACATCGACTGTCGACGTATATGAACCTACCTACGGTACCTATTCGGACTTTTGACACCCGACGGTTTTGCCGATATCGGACTTTTTGCACCTGATATTTTTAGAACACGGACAATTGACACCGAGCGATTACGATTACGATTCGTATTAGAGGGTAAGTGGACGATGACAGCAGAACCTAATCAGCAAAAGTTTTTATTCTATGATAATCCATCAATTAATAGTCGTTATATTTGCTTCTCAAGACTGCCTAGAAATATTATCACAAAGTGATCACGTGTTCATGGACGGAACATTTTACGACTTACAATAATTAAAATTGTTAAAACAATTTAACGTTATATTATGTAAAATTATCTGCTCGTTAATTTTTGTCATAGGTCGATTCAGCGTATAGTTGACGGGTTTTGCTCAAACACAATAAAAAAAAGATACAAAAAATTTATTTTTTATATTTTTTTTAAAGTATAACACTTATCGCAACATAAATATACAAAAAGTAAATGAAGTCGATGGTAAATTGTATGGTGTTTAATTTTGGTCATAGGTATTTTTATTGTAACTAGAAAATCTGACGAGTTATAAGCGAAAACAGTGAAAGGGGCGCGCCACCCTTTGAAGAGGGGTGGAGAGCTACGCACAAGGTGTAGGTGTCAGGACTTTTGGTATGTTTATAAGTAAGGTATACACTACTCACATACCAAAATCCAGCTTTCGGCAATTTTTTTTTAGTAGATTGTAATTAAATTTCTGATTCTTGTATTTTGTAATTGTCAACAAATTGTTAAATTATATCGTCACTACTGATATAAAAAACACTATTACTTACGGTAATTGAAATTTTTAAAATAATTTAACGTTATATTATGTAAAATTATCTGCTCGTTAACTTTTGTCATAGGTCATTTTAGCGTATCATTGATGGTTTTACCTCAAACACGATAAAAAAAAAGATAAAAATTTTTTATTTTTTATATTTTTTAAAAATATAACGCTTATTGCAACATATATATACAAAAAGTAAATGAAGTCTATGTTAAATGTTATGGTCTTTAATTTTGGTCATAGGTATTTTTATTGTAAATTGAAAAGCTGACGAGTTATAAGCGAAAATAGTGAAAGGGTCGCGCCACCCTTTGAAGAGGGGTGGAGAGCTACGCACAGGGGGTAGGTGTCAGGACTTTTAGTATGTTCATCAGTGAGGTATAAACTAAAAAATAAATCAAACTCCTGCTTTCGTGGAATTAGTTCCGAACTTTGTCGATTTTTGGTCTAATTTGACTGGGCTATTTGTTTTATATCACAATGTGGAACACAAACAACATAATAATATCTTAATAGTTCTTTTAACTTCATTAACTATTTGTTTAATAATTATTTATTTTATTTGATATATCGATCATTCGAAATATTTTTATTTTATAATCTTTGAATATTGTATCTACCTATATAAGGTAAAACTTGTAAAATCTATTTCTAATAATAATTATTATTATTTACATAATATGGTTAAAATATTAATAATATTAGGAAACGTAATATTTTATTTTGGGGATATAATATAAAGGTATTAAGTAAAAAATATTATTGTTAATGTTTGAAAATTATAATATAAATATTAAAAATAAGGTATAATTAAATAAATAATTGATTTTGTTTGGATAATTTTTTTATATTTTTAAGTGAACACATATGGGGGCGTGTGCCCTAACGAATTACTTTTCATATAATGTCAGGTGGGAGAAACAGCCCCCCCCACATTTCAGCCCTAGTTGCGCCACTGCATGTGGTTGGGGCGTCCTCTTGAATTTCATATACAAAAATTGGTAGAATTTTCAGATTCAAATTTTAAAAGATTTTAAAAAATAATTGGTAAATTTTTCCAAATCTTACAGCATGGTTGGAAAAGTTTATATTTTGGTAAAAAAAATTACAAAGAAATTTTTAAGAAAAATACTTAGAAGAACTATTAAATCAGATTTAAGTCTTTCATCTGTTATTCTATTCACTCTGGCAGAGCGGTAGCAGCAGCAGTAAATAATAAACGAAACGCACTTGTTTGATATTCAGCATTTGAACATTATTGTCAATTACTTAATATTTAAAGACTTATTACAATTTATTTATTTCCAAATTTTACACAGGGTTGTATTGTCGTTTAGTCACTATGGTCAGTCACAACTCACAATTCACAATATGATTCCCCGCCCTATAAATGTTTCCAGTGTTCCCACTGCTTATTCATATTATATTTCACGGTATCGAAATTGCTAATGCCATTTATAATTAAGCCCTAGCGCTTCTAATCACAGTTATTACAATATTATAGAAGCAACGGTATAGCCGTATATAGGTACCTAATATTGGTAATAATATTAATACTAAACATTAAAAAAAACTGTAGTGACTATAGTATATAGTTCAAGAATTTAGTGGACAAAAATATAAATAATATATTAAAATATTTACCAGATTTCCACGTGAGAACATCGTCTATTGGAGTTCTTACACCTTTGAAATGTTCTTTAATTGATCTATGCTTTTGTAATAACAATTTATTTTGATCATCATATACCCAAAAGTATTCCCCACTTAAAAAATAAAATTTAATATTAATATTAAAATTATAATTTAAGATTAATGTCTCATAACTCATAAGTCATAATGTGAAGAATAATTTAAGAGGACGCCTCACCCGCATGGCCGCATGCCTACGTATTAAACACTCCGTCGTACAAGTGCATAACATAGCAAATTATAAGCTCAACAGAACAGCTATATCTCCGTTAGTTTAATATGAGTGAATTGACCTTTTATAAAATTTAAAGATAAGATTATTATCTAGACAACCTCTTGGGCTTTTTATTATATTTTAATTTTAAAGCGAGTTAATAGTTATGAGTATTTTAAAATTCTAAATTGTTTGTACATCTTAAAACACTCATAACTCGCTTTAAAATTAAAATATAATAAAAAGCCTATAAGGTTGTCTAATAAATAATCTTACCTTTAGATTTTATAAGAGGTAAATTCACTCTAATTTTTAAACTAACGGAGCTACACGTATTCTGCTGAGCGTACAATTTGCTATGTTAAGCATTTGTAACTTGTAAGATGCGGAGACAACATATATATTATGCAGGTGAAGCATTGAGGCGTCCTCTTAAGATTAATGTCTCATAAGTCATAATGTGAAGGATGTTGTTTTAAAAATGTATTATTGTTAATGAAATTGTTTTTTATATAAATATTGATTTTCAAACTTTAATAAGTGTTTTTTATTAACTTAGCTAAAATATTTGAAACAAAAGGTTCAATTTGTTTAGGGTATACAATTTGTAATTGTATTACACAGAGGTGGCTCCAGAGACATAATATTACTGAAGTCATCATTTTCAGAAAATTTTTTTTGTAAATTTGTTTTTAACAGTATAAAATTGTTTAGAAATACAGCTTGTAGGGTCCTATACTCTATAGGGCAATGAAGGGGGGGCCTTCAGTCTGTTAGCATATCCCCTGCATACGCCTCTACGAAATATCTTATTTTACTGAGATGAATTTTTATTAAACATATTTATAGGTACTTGATCATTTACCTAAAAAGATAAGTAATTGGTGGTACACCATACATCATAACTGCATCAACTTTATCAACAAAGTGTGGAAATCCATAATCCATAATAGGTCTTGGACTATTTTCTATCAAATGATTTCCATTGAATACATAATAACTATTACCTGAAATATTTTAAAAGATATTAAAATATAATAATTAACATATTATACTAATTTTTCCATCACATTTTAAACAAGAATAGACTTATACTAAGGCAAGTATGGTATACCAACGTAATATTTTCATAGAAGTATAGAACATTATGTTCTATGATATTTTATAAGTTAGGTAGGTATTTTGGAGTTTAATGTTTAAAAAAAATAATAAGAAAGGTAGCTCTCTGTTACTCCAGATAACTATTTTAATTGAATATAGGTATATTACATACCTACCTATATTCGTAATCGGGTAATCCGTATCTTACATTAAATGTTATAACCTTAACTATACCTATACGTAAACTATATAGCTAACGCCTAACACTATAAACTATTTATCTAAATGCAATGCAACTAGGTACTTAATTGTATGTGTTTGGTTTTCAACTATGAACATTAATTTGATACGTACCTATATCCTTACTGAAGGTTATATTAACTTATATTAAATGCTGACTAAATGTTGCATATAAAGGGTTTTTGTAGTATATAATAATATGTATAATGTGTAATGTATAATGTATACAATATGTCTTAAACCTAGACTGACATACCGTCTTCGCCAGTGGCGTATTTAGGAATTTGTCATGGGGAGGGTCCAGAACTCCAGAACACAGAGCCACGGGGGACGAAGCCCCCCACACCACCCATTTACTCTTTATTAAATAAAATATACCATATTTATAAGACGATATAAAATTGTCGAGTTTTTAATTATTAAATAATAATATGTACAAAACAAATTTAAAAAAAAGCGGGTGAGTGGATGTCACTCTGCTGCTGTACAGTAGGTTACAAGTGGGTCAATGTATAATGGATTGTATTAAACTTGAACTCAATGATATAATATAATATCATTGTATAAGAAAAACGATTCTGAGCGAAGACGGTTTGTCAGTCTGGATATTTTATATTGTTATTATTTATTATAGCCTGTTAGTTGAATTAATAATGAAATACTTTTATTTTTTATTTTTTTCTATGGTGATAGACAAAGTGTTAGAAATTAAAATCCCATTTTTAGAGGTTTTTCGTAATTTTTTGGTGGTTTTTACAGTGGCATTAAATAACTATTGAGAAAATCAAAAAATGACCTCTCTAAGATAGTAATCTTGATCCAATTTTCTAAAAGATAAGTTACTATATGTCTATTGTCTATACATGTTGAAATCGAAGCACTCCTTCTGGAAGAAATTTTGTATACAGGAAAAAAAAAATAAACACCATTGTAGAACCAATAGATCCCTCAGAATCGAATATATAGTTATATGTTATAACTTTTATACAAATATTTCCTTAATTACATTAGGTACCTACTTCATTCATAGTTGATCTTAGATAACTTTTCAACCTTACAAAGTTTGAAAAAGATCTCTCTGGAGTGGTTGTAGATACTGGCAATGTACAAAACTACAAAATATTTGAATTAAAGAATGATGAATTTGGTATTTTTCAACCATTTCCGGTACCCAACTGATAAAAATAATCACGATATTTATTGAAAATGTTGATATAACTATAGCTTCGAAAATTTTTTATACAATCCGTAAAATCGTATGATAAAATTTGTTTTTTAATCATGTAAAAACTGCACAACATTTAACATGTACGAGACACGAGTCAATGGGAGGGGTCCGGACCCCATGGACCCCCCCCCCCCGTAAATACGCCACTGGTCTTCGCTCAGAATCGTTTTTCTTATACAATGATATTATATCATTGAATTCAAATTTAATACCATCCATTATACAGTGACCCACTTGTAACCTACTATACAGCAGAGCACCTTTTTTTTATTGTGTTTAGGAGGCCCGATTCTTTAGACTATACAAAAATCAAGTGAGCTAAAATGGGTGACGTCAAACCGTCAGTAAAGCTTCCTGTTTATTTGGAAAGACCAAGAATACTCTGGCAATATACCATAAAAAAGGATGTTGAATGTTTGGGCCTAATAATTGGACTAATTGGAACAACCTAACGTTGGACATAGAAGGACGAAGGCCTGGCTGAAAGACGGGATGTTTCTGAGAGTTCAATAAACTCACGCAGTGGTTGGGGTCGTGTCGTAATTTGGTCATGTTTGTGCCTTGTTGGTTAGGGGGATTGAAATATGTATTATTATATTTGTACCACAATACAATTCCGTGTAACGTATTTCAATATATTTGTACAATAGTGAATACTGAATACACGAAGTGATTAGTACGAAATAATATTATTTATTATAGGTACCAGCTAGCATAGGGGATTCGAGTTTTTTGTATTATTTCTATAAGATATACCTACTATAGTATAGGTACCTATAAATCTATAAGCCTATAAATAATAATATTTACATTTGTTAAGTATATAAATGTGGTTTGCCAGTTTTTAAAAATAAATTATCATGGATACGACACCCAAATCCCCTTCCCTTAAATACAGCACTGTGTTACTGTGAAGAATATAATATACATAATGTTCACCATATTACTAACTAATAGAGAGAGTCTGTTCGAGATATTAATAATATTATTTAATCTTTACCTACCATGAAACAAAACAATATTAGAGTCCGGCCTTTCGTAAGCTGCATCAATTTTGACAATAGACTCGCTGGAATCTGCTAATACTTGAAAGAACCTTAATAATTGTACCGGATAACGCTGTTGTATGGATCCAGGGTTGTTTAACCTCCATAATAGCTTAATATGTTATGAATAAATTTAATGTAAAACATTTGAATTATTAATTACTCATTCGTATAGTTCATAAAAATAGCTTAAAATCTATATATAGGTTAAGATGTCTAGGTTTTTAAAAGTTGTAGATTCTGAGGGGAGCAATGAATTATGTATTGATTTTACAATGTGTATTAAATTTAGGTGTTTATTAAATATGAACCTAGACAAATAAAAGAGTTTATTTTTATCATCTAATATTTTTTAGTAAATATATTGTATATTGCATTTATTTATACATTTACATAAATTAAATAATATTAATTATTATTATAATTAGCACTGATATCTATATTTATTTATTATATAAGATAGATCGACCATCACCTGTTGTAGATATCAACTTTCAAGCAAAATACTGGAATTTATATTATCATACATTTATAAATATAAAAAAATTTTTAAAAAATTTTTTGATGTTTTTAAATGGTGCTAGAAAAACATTGGTGAACCTCTCATTACATTTGCAGGATTTTGAACTAAATGTTCACAATATAAAAATCAAAGAAAAAGTCGAATATTTCAAATGCCTATCTATAAACTATAAAGTACCAAATTATAATTATAATAATTACCTTGCATAATGTATTTAGAAAATTATAATATTTTCCAGGAAATAATCACATGAATAATTAATCTATTAGTAAAATTTCCTCAGAAGTTATGCTACAAAAGTTAAAAATATCCGAAATATACCTATAGAATATATAGGTACTAGGTAGTCACAATTTGTTTGTATAAGTGTTTTAAGTCCATGCTGCTGTCATAAGTTTATATGACAATAAAAGTAGTTTTTGACACTAAATAATAATTAGTCCGTCAAGCAAAAACAATATTTTTTTAAACTTTAAAAAAATTGTGTATTATTAGGTATATTTTTTAATAAACTATTGAGTAACTACGAAAGTTAAAGGTTTCTTCATAACTTTTTATGGGTTTTAATGGACTTATCCAATATTGCCTATAGGCTTAATTGAATCAGAAGGACTCATAGGCGAAATTTCAACTTTTGACTTGGGGAGGGGGGCTGAATATATTTTTTATAGGCAAGCAGACCATTGCAATATAGCATTTTAAAATTGTATGTCCTAGGTTTTAGGAGGGCTATGGCTAAGTTTGGCGGGGGCTTAGCCTACCCTAGCTCTCCCCCCCCCTAAATTTGAGCCTATGATTAGCAGGTACCTCGTACCTACACTTTTATTTAGAGTTAATGCGGAATGTTTTCAGATAATCAGATATCATTGGCCTTGGCATATCAATGTGTTTTAAAATTTTAGATATTTAAATAAGTTGTAGTAAGTACCTACTTAGGTAATAATATGCACATTTAAAATTTAAATATCTCGAATATATTTAGTATTTACTATTTATAGAAGATACAGGAATGATGAGAAAGCGGAAAAAAGAACAAATATATGAAGCACTTATAAAAATAAGGATTTAATAACACAGCAATGAAGTGGACTAAGGTGTCGGTTGCAAAACGCAAGGGCGGCACTTCTCTCCGGGCAGACACCTGTCGGCTGTCTGAAGAGAGATGAAACAATCCCGCTATCGGGAATGGCAGATACCTAAGTATAAATATTATTTCTGTTGTCGGACCAGTTTTAAAATTAAACCAAAAATATGAATTTTGTCATACACCCAACCATAGTATTTATACCGTGGTTTTTAATGAGAAAACTCGTAATTCGATATAAAATCGATAGAGAATTAATGAAAATATCTTGAGACCTGCAAAATCTCAATTTTAACAAAAAATGGAGTTACGACATAGTAGCATGGACGTGTTAAATTTGAATTCAATGACGGTCTAACTTTTTGGTAACCAAGGCTACCTTAGTACCTTGTCGTATAAGTTTCAGTTACTATTAACAATAAAGTTACTTTGTCCCGTCTGTCAATTTCCATGACGTTATATTTTGCTTGTTGGTCGATATTGTCCTAATATTGGTAAATCGTTGGTTGCATTGCCGCGACTACACGACACACGTGTCTACACATTTGGAGCTGGCGTGCAAACTTTAATTTGAGGTCTAAATATTTTTCCAAAAAGTATTTACTAACTGTAAATAAGATGTGATAGCCGGGGCTTATATTATATTTTAGTCTATATATAGTAGATATTTGTATTTTATACTAACGGTTTTAAAATTATTTATAGACGTCATTCGAATTTTTTCAAATTATCATAAAATTAAGTTTGATGCAAAACTATTTGGCATGGATGTAACTTTTTTTTTAGATTAAATGAGTACCTACCTGTATTTTTACTGGAACAAACTTTTTTAATCTACTTTTCCAATATAACAATTTGACAAATTGAAAAATAGGAACAAATTCACCTTAGCTACCCAACATTGGTTTTGATTTTTTTTTTTTGAAATATACGTATTTCAATGAGTTAGGAACGATTATTCAAAAAAAATTGTGGAAATACCCCAATCAGCTGATCGAGTTTCGCTTCTATACTGTTCTATGCTAAAAGATAAGGTATTATATGTTGAAATCAAAACCCCCCTTCTGGTGGAAATTTTGTATACATTATAAAAATAAATAAATAAACACCATTGTAATAGCACTAGCTTCCTCGCTCCGCTCAGAATCTAAAATTTAAATTTTCTTCCTGCAGGCTGCATTATGTATCTCATAAATTTTTTTAATTACTGTATCATACTTTATGGAGGGTCAGATAACTTTGATATTTAATACACCTATAATGGCATTTATACTGGTATATATTATAAATTAAGTTTAAACATTAAAAAATATATTACTAAGTAGGTATAGGAAATAATACAATGTAGTTATGAAATGATTAAAACAATGACAATTTAAAAAAAATTATCCACCAGGGGAATATATTGGCTATAGCCTCCTATTGTTTCTCCTCTCCTAAATACTAGAAATACTGCCCTCTTTTCAAGTTTATTTTAGTTAATTTATAAAAATGAGTAATAGGTCCTTATTATATTATTATATACCTATTAGTTATTACCTACTATGTCTATAGTTAATAACTTTTTAAAACTATGCATATTTAATTTAAATGACTATTATATAGGTTCATTTATTTTTCACCGATCTAGGCTCTCTCCTTTGTTTATTCCTGGATCCATCCAGTGGCGTAGCCAGGATTTTTTTCGGGGGGGGGGGGGCTGCATCCCCCTCAGCACCTCTAATGGCTACGCCACTGGATCCACCCCTAGGTACAATTTACAATTACACATATCTATTTGTATACAATAATTAAGAGTTAATGATGAGTAAATTCTACTTAAGGGAATTGCAAATGGGCAGTTGTTAAGGAGCTCAAAATGACAAGTTTCAAATTCTATGCATATGGATGTGGGTCTTGTAAATGTGTGCGTAGTAAGTGATCATATTAGCGTATATGATTATGTGTAAATATAATAGCGGAGCGCTTCCGCAAGGGTGGTACAAGTCAAAGTCACGGCGTTGGCATTGGCACGTGAACGCTGAACAATTTATGCCATTTGCAAGGTTTAAGATAAGTTCATTTGTATGAACTTTCTGTCAATCATACCGATAGACTTGATAACGTGAATACGTGATAAGACTTCTGAAAACTGATTTGAATTCGTTAATATGTCTACTTCAGATCGACCCGGCCGGCGGTCACATTTTAAGATAGGTACAATAGGTAAGTAAGATAGGATTTAATTTAATTTTCGAATAATCGTCATTTAAAATTTCGTAAATTACAATTATATTCAAGCAATATTTATGTAGGAATTTAATAACAAAATTTTAAAAAGTGACCTGATTGATCTCAGGTAGATATATTAACGAATTCAAACCAGTTTTCAGAAGTTTTACGGCGTTATTAGGTAAATCGGTATGAACTATGATTGACAAAAGATTGGTACATTTTGGTTGAAATAATTGTTGGTTTGCAATCCCCTTAATGGATTAAATTACGACATTGGAAATATTATATTGTACATGAGCTGTTATTAAATTAAAAGAAATATAAACTTACGCTGTTTTTAAACACGAAAATTTCTCCACGGAAACATGAAATAGCATCAAAATTACCTTTGCATTCATCTATATTATAATTTTTACGAGTTGAGACTTCAGGCTTATAAGTAGTCACTGACTCTAGTGTTACTATGTTATCATCTGTACATGTTTCATGGCTAAATGAAGACCAATGTACATGTGGTTTGTGAGGTATCCTCGGACTCGGCTGTGGTTTAATAGTACTTGGTAAAAGATCCACAAGATCATCGGGCAAAGTTCTAGAAACTAAAATTCAATTATTATTTTTATTATTATTATTATTTTTACACGTTTATATAATAGGTATCTATGTTATTTATTTGCTAAACATATTATAAAAATTTCGTTTTATTATACCAATCGTACATTAGTTCAAGTGAGAAACCCATACAAACATTCTAGTCAGAAAAATATCTTTATATCACCGCTAGCTGTAGTAGAATGAAAATTTCACTCTTATAAGCCAATGGGACATAATATTTACGAAATGAGAAAATATTAGCAAGGATTTAACACATTAAAAAAATTTGAGTGATTCGACCTACAATGAAACTTGATGGTAAGAACATTATCTGTGTTAAACTTTGGTGTTAACGAAAAAACGAGCACAATATTCCGCTTTAAAGGTATCACACAATCTGCAGGACTATTTAGTATTCTCCCAACTACGTGCTTGGTTTAAATATTTGTCTACAAAATGCCACAATAGGATTACCTATTTCGTACTGAATCTCAAATTAATAGCAACCCAACTACCCAAGTAATTTTTGAATTTTTTTACGTAATAGTTATTCTAGCTTGGGGTTACCAAATCTCATGCACCTAAACGACTACAATTACACAGGAAGGATACAAATAGAAAACATGTTCTCCATTTAATTTTCTTTTGCCTCCAGACCTCTGCTTTACCCAATAATCCGTTTGTTTATCCCCCGTTGGGGTGTGTCCCGTTAGAGCGCTTCCACTTAGTACACCCCGGGCAACGGCTAAGAACTGCTTAGACGACTAAAGCTCTAACACCCATCACGCTGCCGAACCGTGATTCTTAAAATCATCTCCCGGCATGGACTCCTCTCAACCCAACGAGGAGTCCTCATAAAATAGTCCTTATCAGGACTTCCGAACTCGGAATATGGGCCACCAGCTTCATATTCTTCAACTTAATATAGAAGGCATCAACAAAGTAAAATCAGATTACTTAACAAAACTACTACATATCTATATAACATCGACGTCTTACTCTTAGAAGAATCACACACAGTTGATGAATCTTAACTACGGACACGCGGAAACATCCCTGGATATACACTCGCTGCCGCTACCTACGACCATAGATACGAATCTGCGACGTACATAAAAGATAGTATCTCAAATTGGAATTTAATACATAAATCTGTTGTAAATGATATCTCCACAATAATAGTCATTGTATCTAAGATTCTCGTACATAATACATACAAACCACCTGCCGTAGACAAACCGGTAACCTCCCCACCATATTGAATCACCCTGCTATCTATTTGGGAGATTATGACAGAGACCACCAATCATGGGGATACACTGATAACAATAATAACGGAGATCTGATATATGAATGGGCCTCCACAAACCAATTACATTTAGTATACGACGCAAAGGATGCTCCTTCTTTTCATTCAAGCAGATGGAATAGAGGGTACAACCCCGATCTCTCCTTTCTAACTAAGAATTCCAACAGAAGACCTAGGTTGTTACAGACAGGTCCTCAATGCATTTCCCAATTATCAGCATCGCCTAGTATTCGCACAAATCGGTCTCCAAATACCAATAATAAATTCTATGCCAAAACCGAGATGGAATTGTAGAAAAGCGAATTGGGCCAAATTTACTGCTCAATTAGACGACAATATCCGCTGGATTCCCATAGTAATAAAAAAAACTACGATCGCTTTTTAGGCATTATTATGTCTACAGCGAAAAAATGGATCCCTAGAGGCTTCAGAAAATAATACATACCATGCTGGGACAAAGAATCTACTACACTGGTTAACGCCTTCCAGAGAGCACCCGATGATGATACTACTAAAAAAACTATTTAATTCCTTAAACAGCCTTCGTCATAAACGATGGATAAGTATAGTAGAAGAATTAGACTTCAAACACTCTAGCAGAAAAGCATGGCTCCTATTGAGAAAACTAGACCCCAACACTCGTGGCCATTACAAAAAACCAACGAATATAACTCCAAACATTATTGAGAATCGGATAATCAAGACTGCCTCTAGATAAATACCTTAGTAAAGTAGTAAGATCCAAAATTCTCAGAACTAAAAATAATGCAGAACCTCACTCCGAATACGCTCGTGATTTCACAATCGAAGAGTTAACAACTGCCATCAAAAGCTTAAAAAATGGCAAGGCAGCAGGCAATGATGAACTCTTTTCCGAGTTTCTCAAAAACTGTGGCCCAAAGGTCATAACTTGGTTATTAAGGTTTTACAATAAAATCATGGTAACAGGGGAGATGCCTCGACACTTCAAAAAAAACCAGAACCATCGCCATTATTAAACCAGGTAAACCTGAAAACGAGGCATCCAGCTATAGACCCATTGCCCACTTCAGCACATGCTACAAAGTACTCGAAAGACTTGTATATAACCGCATTTTACCTGCCATTAACGCACACATCCCTACTGAGCAAGCGGGGTTCAGACCAACGCGTAACTGTTGCAATCAAGTCTTATCCCTCACAACATACATTAAAGGAGGCTTCGAAAAAGGGAATAAAATTGAAGCTACTTTCATCGACCTTACTGCTGCATATGACACGGTATGGAGAACTGGTTTACTTTTAAGTTCTTGAGAGTTATCCCTTGCAAAATCCTTTACAACCTCCTCAACAATATGCTTAGCAACCGACAGTTCGTAGTCTATGTAAGTAATAAAACAAGTAGGAAAATGTAGACTAAACAACGGCCCACCCCAAGGATTAGTCCTTGTCCCGATCCTTTTCAACCTATACACTGGGCGACCTGCCCAACACTATCTCCAAAAAGTTCATTTACGCTGACGATATATGCGTGGTGTGTAATGGGAAGCAGTTCAATGATTGCGAAACAACACTCGATAAAGATTTAAAAACACTAGAAGCCTACTTCAAACAATGGAGACTTCGGCCGGATCCAGACCAAACTGAGTCCTCTCTTTTTCACCTCAACAATAAATCAGCTTACCAAAGCTTAAACATTAACTTCTGCGGAAATATCGTGCAACATAACCCCTTTCCTAAATACCTTGGAGTCACGTTAGATAGAACCCTAAGTCCCTAATATATAAGACACACTTAACTAATATAGCAGCGAAAATCGGCTCCCGCAACAACATTATACAAAAGCTTACGGGTACAGATTGGGGTGCCGATTTTAACTCACTTAGAACCTCTGCCGTAAGTCTAGTATACTCAGCCGCCGAATACTGCTCACCAGTATGGCTGAATAGCGAGCACACAAAAAATATTTATGTTCAACTCAATCGCTGCATGTGAATAGTAACTGGCACAGTAAATTCCACTCCCTACAATGGCTTCCAGTTTTAAGTAATATAGCTCCTCCACACTTACTTCGTAGAAATGCGCTGTTAATGGAATGGATAAAATACAACTCTAATCTGAGTCTGCCTGTACACAATTTTGCGAAATCCCTTCAGAACCCACCAAGACTCAAATCACGTAACCCACCATGGAAATCCGCCATTGTATTTCACAACACTAACTTCAATATGAACGAGACATGGAAAAACGAATGGGCAGCTTCAAAACTGGATGAACAAAAGTATCTAAAAGAACCTACTGACAAGCCTCCTGGACACAATCTTCCCAGGAAAGAATGGACTACCTTAAATCGCATTCATACAGGAGACAGGACATGGTAGATGTGGATACCTGATGCACAAATGGAACGTAGTGCCAACCTATAACTGCGAATGCGGCAACCCATACCAGACCATATCGCATATACTAACCGAATGTCCCATCAGGAAATTTAATGGTGAACCTGAAGATATGTCCAACGCTTCCCCAGAAGTTATTGAATGGATTCAAAGTCTTGACATTAAATTATAGGCGTCTGCCAAAAATATATAGTCATAAACATTGTTATTATTGTTACTGTGACGCATATTCTTATTGTTACACTTATTATCTTGCCGATTTAGCCTTTATTAATATTCAATTCTATTAATTGTTATGATTATCATAAATATTTTTATTTGTTTTCTGTTTTTTCCATACAAATAAATAATAAATCACCCATTGCCCAGCAACTCTTACTTCTGAGTTTCCGATATCGAATACAATTTCGATAAACTCTCTACCACTACAAGAACTGGGCCTGACGGTCTTCCGGATTCTTTCTTAGCAATTATTAAATCCGTAATTTCTCTCCCACCGAATGATGCGACTATAGCAAACGAGAATCTTTATGGCCTTTAAAGACTTAATTTGTGTAATAATACTTAGAATCGGTCATATATAAAAATTACACGCAGCTTCCTAATGGCTAAAGAGGACACCCCAATATATACCACATCGACATCAAACATATATTTTTACTGAATTTTGTATATGTATACTCCCAGATCAGAGAAAATACTATGCTTCCGGAATATTCTCGGAAGCACTCAACCAGGACCCCAACTCAATTTCCGCCACAGTCATATTCATCTTCACCAATAATCTTTTCGACATGATTTAACATTACTCTCTTATTGTATTTTTAACTAGTATTTAAGTTTATTATTATTTAAATTTGTACATTATTATAAATATCCCTCAATGGCCAGTGTCGCCGCGGATATAATCAATAAAAAAAAAATTAATTAAATAAATTAAAAACCATTATATACGTCAACAAAGAATTAAAAACAAACAGATAGTGTTTAAAAATATACTTACTATACAATGAATGCATTCCTAATATATCGTCATATCCAATATCTTGAGGTTGTGGACCTGTGTAATAGGGATTCATAATGGAATTAGGTTCGGACGAATGTCCCAATCCTAAACTGTGGCCCATTTCATGAATAGCCACAGAGTAGAAATCAACCCCTATAATATAATAAACACATCAGTTTAAGTTGATAATTCTTATAAAATTGTTTTATACTTTAAAAAGTCAATAGGATAAATACTAATATACTATATACCATTGTAAGAATTGTCTAATGTCCAGTCTTCACTATCGTCAAAATGTATATCTCCGCCCAAAAATCCTAGTTCCATTGGATAAAATGCATGTGCAAGGACATTACCAGGACCATCAAATGGAAACCTAACATATTTACATTTTTAAAAAATGAGTACGTCAGACAACTGTATTTTTATTTATATTTTATTTTAAATAATATAAATTGTTTGTTAATCATCATCTATTTTATATAAGTACTTTACTCTAATTCATACTTACTGATCTCCGTGGTTGGAAACACCAAATGAAATCAAGATATCTGCATTAGCATTGTATACTTCTGAAAAAGTGATTCGACTATACCGACTCCACTTTGTAAATGCTCTTTGAATTTCATTCGTTATACCATCACGTGATAATTTTGGGGTAAAATTGGATATGCTATATTAACAGTAATAGAATAATAAGATATAAATATATAATACTGATAAGTGATAATATTATTTGGTAATACTGATTTTAATATTGCTATATCGAAAATATTGAAGAATTATATCAATAAAGTCCACAAATATATATTTATTTCTTCTCCGAAATATAATACTTGTGAATTATGATAAAATTATAAAAACAAATTTAAAGTACTTTCATAGTTATGTTTATGCAATAATGATTTAAAATGGTGTAACGTTCGCACAGTCACGATGACGTGGTCAGTCTTATAAAGAATACTTTTATTTTGTATTAATGACTAATAATGAGTATTAAAGTAGGTATTCGAATACGTATCTATTCGAATATATTTCCCCCCCACCCAATATTTATAAGTTTTGAATTTAATTTTTTGAATTTTTTTTTAATAGAAAAATTTATTTTGCTACAAATATAAACTATTTTTTGAATTTAAAAATTATTTAGAATAAGTATTCAATTATTTTTTTCAAAAAGTATTTAAAATAGTATTCAAATATAAAAAAGGTATTTGAATTCTTTTATTTGAATAAATTTATTCGAATACTTTACAAAACTGAACGTGGTTATTAAAAGCTACATAACGTGGATTTCATATTTTTCATACTTACAAGGATAATAGCGAACTATCTGTCTTCTCTATCTGATTCAAGAGCAAATTAGCAACGATATTATAGCAAATTCAGCTGAACAATCAATATACCTTATGTTAAAATCTTATTAGAAAAATTGACCAATTATCAATCTTAATGTTAAGAACATTATCTGTGTTTTAACTTTTAATTTTTTTTTTTATTAAATTTCAATTTTTCATGCAAGTTATAAATGTGTAAAATATTACAACAATGCTCATTAATATATATTACACATTTATTATAATGTATATATATTATCGTAGAAAATCGAAAAACACTAAAATAAGTCAACATACAAACTATTGAAACACAGATAATGATCTTAAGGGGGCTGCAACGTAGCATATTTTAAGGGGCGTCTCCCGATTGCGGCCCAAAGTAAACTTTTTACCTTTTCACCTATCCCGATTGCGGCCCGTCCATAATAGGTAGGAAATAATATTTAAGTGGTTATCAAAACCAAATAAATATCCCGATTGCGTCCGATACGTATATTGACATATATATAACTATCGTATATCTAATCTATTGTTTGTACTCCTCGGGAAACAACTAAACAAATTAATAAAAAAAAATCATACTAACCCAAATTACAAAATTAAAAAACTTGGAAATATCTAATTTTGATTTTGTAAAAATAATAAGTTTTAAAAATCTGCATCTAACACTATAATTATTTTACTATTCATTGACATAATATTTGTATTTTACATATTTTTTTATTGTAAACAATTTATTATTTTAATATTCGACTAGGTACCTAATTATTTACAAATTAATTATATTTCATGTCTTTTTTTATTGTAAACAATTTATTATTTTAATATTTGACTATTTGTATACATATTATATACTTTTAAAATTGTATACAAATACATCCATTCAGAAAGTATTTAAAATACAAAATATACTTGCCATGTATTTAAATAAATTTTATACTTTATACTTGTTTCATGATAATTTTGAAATACTTTATTATTTGGTGATTAAACATATTATTATATATATATATATTAATTATAAGGTATTTTGTGAACCAATGTGTCTGTGGACGCAATCGGGATACTTATATTTGGGATAAAATACAACTACCTGAATTCGGGCCGCAATCGGGCAACTCCGATTTTAAGGAGTACTATTTAGGCAATTCATGTGACATATAAATTAATACTGTATCTATGGGTGAGCAGTAAATGAACATTAGTGTGCGTAATCCGTTATCGTTTCCGAGAATCGCTGCACATCGGGCAACCGCGCCGGAAGCAACTCTCACACACACATGCACATGTCAATACATCTCGAAAAATGAAATATGTTCTTGTTTGTATGCCTATAAAACTACTAAAAGCGGTAGTAAATTAATCATACTTCCCGAAGTTCAATTGTAATTTCGAAAAAATGGTTGAATTTATAAACTTCTAGACAATGCTTCTTAGGAATCACTTTTTTTATTTAAAATTAGATATGTCCAAAATAAATACAAATGTAATGCAATTATTTCATGGGATTTCTAAAAAAAAAAATGGTTATTTTAAGATCATTTTAAATTGAAAATTGAAAATCGACTTCCTAAGAAGCCTAGATATTTTATCAATGAATTCAAACATGTATAAAAAATTTAAATCGGACATTCCGAAGTGTGTGTAATTTACCACCGTTTATTGGTCTAAAACGTATGAAAAATACGTGCGTTGCAGCCCCCTTAACTATAAGTTTGATAATAATTAATAGGTCAATTAACTCGATACAATTAAGCCAACAACTCAAGTATAGTTATAGGTAGTTATACTAAATGCAAATTTGATAGTGGATCAGAAAGAGATATCAGTACACAGTCATCCTCTTAAAGGGTCCGACTAACCGACTACGAATGAAGTATAGAGTAATACATTTAAATCAAATATACCGGGTCCGGGGTCGTAATCACTGCCTAAATAGTAATTAAGTGATATCAAGTATAAACAATTAAGAATATTTACTTCGAACTTTGGAGGTTATTTATATAATGTACTTTCAGTCTAAGAAAGCCTGTAAGGACTTAATATACTTTATAGTATATGCTTATACAAACTATAGCAGGGATGGATCGGGGGGGGGGGGGGGAGGCTAGGGCCCAGGCCCTTCCACAAACATATTATTTTATAACTCTATAAATCCTGATATTACTACTACACTTCAAATCACAAATAGGTAATATTATGTCTGATAATATAATATATTATTATACATATCTTAGTTCATGGTGGACAATAATTCCAATATAGGAGGATCACCTTACTTCATTATGTTTACTAAGTGTTCATATGGAAGTTAAAATTAACACTTTTTTAAGCTATTGTGGCAATATTTTTAAATTAAGAATAAAGTATAATATTTTATTATAATTGTATTTGTGTTCTAAAAAAAAAATGTTGCCCCCTTCCCCAAAATATTTGCTCTAGATCCGTGCCTGAACTATAGTATACGAGTAAGCCCACTCAATCTAATAAGATTACATATAAATAGTTCGTGATATAGGTAAGCCACAGAGTATAATATTTTGTTTATAGCCTAAATAAGTATATATAATATAAAACATACCGATGTATTATAATTATATAAAACATTGAGAAATTAACTTTAATAAAATAATAATAACAATAATAGTATATTAGTATGTATAACCTCAATAGCGTCAATCACTGTTTCCATCGACCCCCTCCCCCCAAATATGTCCTTATCTTAGAATAGGTAGGTACTTACAAATAAGTAATAACTCGTTTGTTCCAACCATTCGAAGGTATTACAAATCTTTTGGTTTTTGTATTCTTTTGTTTTAGGGATATGTCAGGTACACCACAACGTTTTGACTTCACTAACTAAAACATTTTAATAACTTAGATTATTATACCTCCTCATTAGTGCTCAATAAAATGTTGACCATCACAATAAAAAAAGCCCCACCAATGTTAGAATTTATATTAGGTATATAGTTCCACAGCAGGCACTTATACAGCTGCACGTATTAGAAAAAAATGCCGTAACCAAATTAAATAATCTGTTTCATTGTTTCAAAACATTTTGGAAGACGGTATTAATATTAAATTACCAAATACCCTCTCCAGTCTCCACCCGTGAGAATCATTAACATTTATCATTTATTATTTTATATTACATGTAATGTATGCATACGGACCTAAGTCGAATTACAATTATATACTATAATGTAGTAATATACGATAAACCATAAACTTTTAACTTCAGACTATTAATAAAAGGGTAGTGGCGTACGCAGGATTTTTCAATGGAGGGGGGGGCTTGAAAATTAGTTACAATTTTATTTTCATTTTGTCCATTTTAATAATTTCAGACATTTATTTGAGGTATTTTAAAATTTTTGTAACTTCTCAATTATTCTGATAGAAAAAATGCTCTGATCATAAATGTCGATGTCCGATGTATGTTTTTGGAATCAAATTGGATCTAGTTGGTACTTTTAGGAGGTCGAAATTGAAAATGTTCAGTGCTTTTTAAAATAATTGGAGAAAAAAAACTAAAATTTATTAAAATTGTTGGGTAACCATCTTGGTTATACCGTCCTCACTTGGATAAAAGCTTAAAAGCATATTAATGTACGTTTTTATTATAGCTAAAATATTAACAATACATTAGCATCATGGTTATTTTTTATAAGCTTTTTTATAAGTTCAAATTTCGTCAAAACCATCAGTTAATTTGTACAAAACTTATAAAATATTAAATGTGTATAGCTAAGGCTAGACAATTTAATACAGGGTCTTTCATAAGTTGTTCATACTTTTACCGAAAAATTACAGATAATTCTAGAAAATTGGTATATAAATACAATGTTTTTTCAAAAACGAATTCATTCTGGTAAGCCATATATGAAATTTACGTCTTGCTTACTATAGTTGACAGTTGAAACTTGAAAAATATTTGTTGAAAAAGTAACCCTAACAGCACATCATGTTTTAAATACTGAAATACAT